TCATTATACTAGTAGGTTAAGTCCAATTGATTTGTAGAAATTCAGCTATGCGATAATTATATGTGCAGTTTTGTTTTGCGCACCCAGACACGAGCAAAAGTTAACCAATAGATTTTCTGAACTACAGCATTCGTATTACTTATGCAAATTGAGTAAGGGTCATAGTGTGAGTTGCGTTCACAAATAACAAAGTGTCAAATTATTTTGAGCGCCGTTCGGAATAAATTTAGTCAAAATCACACACAGAAACTCAAACACAACACACAAATACTAGTACTCAATACATATTGCGATTGACCAGTTATATAGCTACACACACAGGGACGTAAATAGGTAAATACAGGTCACAGTTCGACTTGCTTAGCAAACGTTACAATGTGTCAAGTGATTTGAAGGCGTCTTTGTTCCAAAACAGAGAAACAATAGGCGTTGTGTTTTGAATCGTGATTAAAACCTAAATTTATTACGAATAAAAACATACAATGTACGATCATTGTTACTCCAGCGGTCGGTTGGCAAGCGGACGATGTTTCTGAAGCCAACCATAGCAGGAGCGAGCGAGCGAACAAAAGCGAACGCGAGCGAGCGGAAAAAAAGCGGTCGGTTTCCGGTCGGAAAGCAGCGAGCGGTCGGAAATTAAGCGATAAGCGGTTGGGAAAAAAAGCGATAAAAGCGGGAGGTTAGGCGGAATGAGTACTGTATCAACATCTAGCACGACTTCAGCGTCAAATCAGTGCCTGGAATTGCTGTAATACACATGAATGATTGAATTCAGTTCTTGGTCCTCATTTCTTAGTTATTCAAATTGGGGATGATGACCAGTTTATTCATGATTTTCATTTATAATCATATAAACTTTACAATCAGATAATTTCAAATTTATCAATTGAATCTTTTCCACTGACTTTTTTTCTGGTAAAGACAAGGTTGAAATCCTTGTCCCATATTATGTCATAAATAATCTCTAGGTTTCCTATCTTATCATGTATTCAGTGTGTGATTGACATTTTTACTACAGGTACTATTAGCCCCAGTGAAGACAGAATGCTTGTAGCATTAGAAGAATTACAAGATTTGAAAGGTGTTTGGTCTGAATTGGCTGCAATATGGGAACAAATTGACGGTCTTAAAGATACACCTTGGCTTACTGTTGCACCAAGAAAGGTAATATTCTTTCACTCACAATCACTGATGCCTTCAAAAGAAACAAAATTTACAGCCTTTACAAGAAAATCATTGGTCAGCCAAAGCCAAGCTTTATTCAAACTTTCTGTATTATCTTTTTTTTCAGTTGCGTCAAAGTCTTGATACACTGGCAACTCAACTCAAATCATTCCCAGCTCGGTTACGTCAGTATGCTTCATTTGAGTTTGTCAACAGAGTACTCAAGGGTTATGCTAAGGTACGTATTTATGTAGTTATCCAAAGATGGTGGTGTCTAATTTGCATACTTGATTACCTTGCATTGGTTCAGACTTTGTGGGTAATTCACCCTATTCTTTTTTTTTTGACTCTCCAAATGATAAAATGACTAACAACACTTAATCACAGTATATTTATGGCAAGATGTGCATATTAAGTATTGAAAGACAATATTTACTAGCGACAAGCAACTTGTTGCTTGCGTGTTTTGAGATACGCTGCTGTCGCGCTATTGGTCAGTATTGGTCAGCTGTTTGAATGACGTTTACTGAACTCCATGGGCAGGTGAATTGAAAGAAAAGGTGTCAGGTTTAAGTATGCAAAGGAAAAAAAATGAACGGATTACAGTAATTATTATAAATGTCTGTATACATGAGTGTATTTAGTATGATATTAGGTGTGTACTGAGTAATTATTCTGAACATCAACTGAACAGAAATGTTTGTAGCATTATCTATCAGTGTTTATGAGTCAGGTTTACTTTGAAAAGTTGTCTTAAAGACTTGTTCATAACTACAGACTAATATTGTTGTCTGCAGGTCAATGTGCTGATAGTTGAGCTGAAATCAGATGCTTTGAAAGAAAGACATTGGAAACAGTTAATGAAGAAATTGCGTGTGAATTGGGTGTTGTCTGACTTAACATTAGGCCAGATTTGGGATATTGATTTACATCGAAATGAACCTATTATTAGAGATATCATTAACATTGCACAAGGTGAAATGGCTTTGGAAGAATTTATGAAAATGGTGAGTAAAACTATACCTAATTACAGTAATGCTGCATGTATATTGCTGACAACAAGTTCATGTTACTATTTCTACTACATAGGTACGTGAAGCTTGGCAGAGTTATGAACTTGAACTTATAAACTATCAGAATAAATGTAGATTGATACGTGGATGGGATGATTTGTTTACTAAAGTCAAAGAACATATAAACAGTGTAGCTGCTATGAAATTATCACCATACTACAAGGTATGTATACCAGTATGCTGTCTCCAGTGTTTTTGACTCCCGTGTGCGAAGCACAAAAAGGGAGTCTTTGCAGTTAGTGTCTGTCTGTCTGTCTGTCTGTCTGTCTAACCATGCATTAATTTTTGATGAAACTTGTTGCATACAGTACAGTTCTCGCGGAAGCTTTGGCTTCACTTCATGAAGCTAAATAGAAGTCCCACGCATGGACTGAGTGAAAGAAAATAGGCTAAAATAAAACCTAATATCTCTTTGTGTATTTGTCAATTTTGCATACATTTTTTGTGACAGTATGTTCGTAAATATTTGGAAAAATCCCGACGTCCATTATTCAACACAATCAGCATTTATTTATCGTAATTCATGGGATCATGTCCCGTAATTTGCGGGCTGTAAAACCAAATAATTAAACATGTATTATTTATTATATCTATATTTTTGTTTTACCTCGTGAAACTACAACACAGCGTAGAGTTGTCGGGGTGAAACAGTCGCCTTGAAATCGATGGAACTTCAATTATCCATTTCTCGCCTTGAAATAAAATTAAAAAAATTCGAAGAGCATCGGGGGATATATTATTAACCAGTCTTACCAATCGCTAGCTTTATATTATTCAAATCCATAAAATTCACGAGTTTTTTGACATTTGTTGGCAACTTCCAGGCTAAAAATGGTTGAAAATGTGGGTGTGGTTCTCTTGCAAAGTCCCGTTGATAATACGAACAAATATGGTTCTGTGACCCAGGTCGTTCTTTGATCAGGTGACTTTCAGCAAATCAATGATGTTGTAACAAAGCATATTTGACGCTAATTGAAGGGTCGTCGTACTGTCCAATCTCCGCTGTCGATTCACTGTGCTGTGACAGGCTTCACAATCATTCACTGAAAAACATCGGTATATTTTGATAAACGGCTGGGATTTGACCTCAGTTCAAAAAAGAAAAAAGAAAAACTGGGCTGAGATACAAATCAGTTTTGCAAGTTGGGAAATAAGGTAAACCAGATTGGGGTCAATAATATTCAGTATCAAAGGACTTCTGTGTGTATAATGAGTTTCAAATTGTTCGACTGGTCACCAAATATTTACGGCTACAACTAAATGAACACTTTTTTTCTGAAGCCCAATAAATTATTTCTGCACGTCAAGTGCTATAGATTCAATTTTTTACCAGGCCTGTGGCTCGTTTTTATTCTAAAATATTTTTTTGTGAGAATACTTTTAAAGTACGTATAGATCGAGCTCAGGTCACTGATTGTGACTTAATTTTGAAAATTGGATGTAAAATTTTACCAGACCGACGCCACCACCACCATCCAATCATAGTTGGAAATGTACGCACTTGTTTTGGAACTTTGTATCAAGATGGCAGGCGACAGCGCCAGGCGGTGTTCGCGTGTTTTGCATGTATTAGTAGTCCGGGCATGGGATCTGACTCAGCTAAAACTAAACGAAACACAGAAAAATACCACTAAAATGAGGAATCTGAATCTGTTCTCTTACCAGCAAATAAAATGAACGAAAATATGGTAATTTTATAACAAGAATAGTTTCATTTCGTATAGCAAATTGTGTTGTTTCCGAACGACGATTGCATCGTGTGATTTAAATTTATCACGTTTTTCCTTGCAGTCAATATGACACTCGTCACCTTGCAGATTCCAATGTACTTCACATAGTTTTTGGTACCCAATACTCGCAACATTAAATAATTAAACAAGATATCTTTTTAAAATGTCATTTTACTCTTGGTCATATTATTTTATTCTCCTTACCACTTTGAATTTCAAATCGATTACATATCGAACTTCTGTACACGCGTTTTTTCTCTACTGCCTTTCCATGTGAAAATAATGAGGTCATACTCATGTCACAATACTTTGAAGCTGATGTCATGTTGATGCCATGAGACTGCGAAGCAGAGGCCACGATGATGCCACAAAATAAGAGAGGCGAACACAGCTTCAATTTTCAATGACGCGAAGCTGATGCCACAATGATGCGATGCTGAGGCGACAATGAAGCCATGTGTAAGCGCCAATGATGCCACAAAAGCCAAAGCTTCCGCCAGAACTGTACTGTAGATGCTCTGGACCAATGCGCAGATTTTATTAGGTTTTGGTAAAAATTCATGCAAGTTAATTACCTAATTTGCATGATAATTAGCTAATTTTTAGCTGTTCCATGATTGTTCCACTGCTATCTAAAGAACCACTCATTGGATTTTGATGAAACTTGGCACAGAGATGCTCCAAACTAATGTGCAGATTTGATTAGTTTTTGGTAAAAATCTGAGCAATATTAATTAACTAATTTGCATAATGATTAATCAATTTTTGGCTTTTCCACTGATATCTCAAGTACTAATCATCACATTTCAATAAAACTTGGTACATAGATATCATAGGACACTGCACAGACCTGATAGTTTTTAGGGTAATATCAGTACATATTAATTACCTAATTTACATTATTAATTAATTTTTAGCTTTTGATATTTCAAGTAGTAATCATTACATTTCAATGACACTTGGTACATAGATGTCATAGGACACTGCACAGACCCCTGGTTTGTTTTTTGGTAAATATTTGTGCATATTAATTACCTTATTAGCATAATTAGTTAATTTTCAGCTTTTTGTCTGATATCTCAAGTACTAATCATATTTCAATGAGACTTGCTACATAGATCTTCTAGGACTATGCAGAGACCTGATTATTTTTAATTGGATATTAATTACCTAATTTGCATAATGTTCCACTGATATATAAAGAATTGGATATATAAACTAT